ATATTATTTCCTAGTCATTAGAACTGAAATAACTCTTACCATCCAATATGTATTCAACTTGGTATTTATAAATATTCACAGTTTGGTCTAGTGTGAACACAACCTATGAATACACAAAAAAACATTCTGAAAATCACAATCCTAGAACTGTCTGTTCCCAAATTGTAAGCACAAAGAAGTTTGTGATAATGCATATCTGATGCTAAGCCATTGCTATCCATTTTAAACTTTTATCAGTAATTCTGTGTGTGTATAAATAATAGGATACTATTTATCACTGTGTGTGCAAGTACTTTTACATTAGGTAAAGGGATAAAGGAATGCAAAAAAAACAGGTTAAGGGAAAGAAATCATTCCCCATTAAATTTCATCAGGCATTTTCCACTTGTATCGTAATAAAAGGGACAGGGTTGCTGCAATGTTCAAGCCAGACACATTTTAGTAGCCAACAAAAGTGATGACTCTTCTTACATTTCATTTAATGTGATCTACATTTCTTTGTTACCAAATCCAAAACTGTAGTTGGCATGGCTACTTGGTCCTGGGATTTCTGCAGCCCTGATCTATGGAGAACATGCTTAAGTATCCAACAATTTCAATTCTTTTTAGCCAAGTGCAACCACATCTGCAACTGAACTGGAACAATTACCGAATGGAACGCTAGACAAGACGCCCATTCCAGAAAGCACTCTGGATGCTGTGTACTCCCGTGTTAATGAAACGGCATGCAGTCAAAATGAAACTGATATGAAAGAACAGCATGAACAGTTGATTCATGATGTGTTGGCTCCGCCTGAATCAAGCAATAGTACTAGTAATTTGCAAACAGAGCCAAGTTATGTTCCTGAAGAACTTCCAGTTGAGAACATACAAACAGAAAAGAATGGCAGACCAGAGTTGGAACTACCTCAAGCAGAAACTCAGCTGACTATTTTTGCAGAACCCTTTGAGTTCAATTCTCTTATAAGGTGATTTTTTATACAAATTATGACTTTAGCTTTGGTTCCTCCCTTCTCTTAGGATACACTGAAATTAGTGTGATTTCCCTTGCATTTTTGCCATTTTAATGGTAATTATTATATACTAATTTATATTCTTTTAATTATAGAAATGGAGTTTTAGAAGAACTTGTGAAGACTGTGGGTGATAAAGGGTGCAAGAAATCAAATGCCAGAAAGACTAGGAAAACACCTAACAGTGCTTCAAACAGAACATGTAGAAAGAAACAGAAAACCAATAGCACCTTGGAATCATTTTCATCAAGTGACAAGGGAACCTTTCCTATTCAAACAAATAAATTAGCATCAACAGTTTCAAATCTGATGGTGGTTCAACAAACTGCAAATGCACCTGACATATATATGTCTAGTTCTTCTGGTGTTAGTCATGTAGCATCAGGAGTTGATGTATCCTATGGCAACACTTCTGTTTACATAGGGCCTGATATTTATGAAACACCACAAATTGTTGCTCTTGTTGATGTGCAGCAACATGTAACACCCGGTCAGTCAGGAGCAAATGACTCAGTGTGTAATAATACTTTAAAAATTGTTGATGTGTTTTCTGTCCAGGAAATACCAAGCACCTCCACACCTGCTTCATTTGTGACCAACACTTTACACAGGTCGACTACAAGTAACTGGCACTCTCCTTCTCCTTTAGAAAACCAGTCTAATTCATTTCTGTCCTTAACGTGTGGCACGCAAAGCTCCCCCAAGAATCCTTCAAATACAAGAAATTGGCACACTCCATCTACACAAAATCCATTAAATCCACTTTCATTACACAGCCCTGTTCCTGCAGAGAATCCACAAAATTCCTCTGAGTACAGGGAAAAAGGTGTTGACTCGGGGACCACTTTGAACAGTGCGTCTCTTACAGAGGACGAAGATGAAATTCTTGTTGTTGAAATCGTCAAGGCTAATAAGGATTCAATTGCCCAACACTGGGAAAAGTGCCCATCAGGCTTTAGATGTAAATTTTGTAGCAAGACATATAAGAAGTTGATTAAGTGCGAGAATCATATCCGGATTCATCTGGGTATCAAACCGTATGAATGCCATTTCTGCAAAAGAAGGTATCACAAGAAGAGACTATTAAATGAACATTGTTCATACCATACAGGGAAAAAGTTATACGAGTGTAAAGTATGTGACAAGACATTTCGCTACAGGAAGAACTTCAAGATTCACGCAGAAAGTCACGTGGAAGAGACAAATTCATGTTATTTGTGTGAGATATGTGGTAAAAATTTTCAGTTGCAGTTTGAATACTGGAACCATAAAACATCAAAGCATGTTATTGTTAATCCACAAACAATAGAAGTAGATTAGAGTTACGGTGCATACACACAAGAAAAATCCAGAAAATATGTCTGTCAGTTGTTGTATATATGCACACAGATGTTTGAAATTATTTCTACAAGAATCAAAGGAAGATTTTAGATTTTAATATGTACAACGCATAAAATATTTTAAATACGTAATGAAATGGGACAACAGAGCCTCAGTTTAAAGGGGATGAGAGCTGAATGTAATGATGTATAAAGAGTTAATCAGTGCCCAAATAATTAATTTTTTCATAGGAAATACATTCTAATTGTTATTTTTCCTCCTCGCTTTCCTAGCCAACTGCTGGTCCCTGTATAAAGAACTGCATGTGACATATCTCACCTTTGTGTGGTGTAACCTAACATGGCCAACGCAATCCCACACTGGCAGTGCCACCATATTGCACCCTCTTTTCATTATTTAATAAAGAGGTTGCCTGCCTTCAAGATGGGTTACAGGATTGCTGGAGTAACTGGTCGGCATAATCGTGAGTGGGTCATGTGGACCTGTGGGGAAGTCTGATAGGTCAGACTGCAGGTGCATCGATCATAACCGAGTGCTTGATATTTCTTACTGAAACACAAGCACTGAAAATTAATGACACACTTTGTTAGTTGACCAATTCCTCTGCCTACCTGTACATCACTTTAAAGTTTAATTAATTGAAATAAACAACTACCAGCTTAAATTTTAAAGATGTTGGATTCACAGTTGTCATGAAGGCAAGTTGCATGCACCATGTCCAAGAACTAATTGAAAGTGGGGAAAATGCCTGATAATAGATACAGGCCTCTTGAGACTCAAATACTCATCTACCCCAGAATTCCTGAAGATTTGGTTGACCGAGGCTTTCAGGTGTTGCAGTACAACCACCAATCGCATCCTATGTTAACTCGAACCTGAGTGGGTACAGGAAACCCCAAAATTTGGCCATAAAAGAAGAGCAGTGGCTTGGCTTCTGTTTGACATAAGCCAATTTCTTATGCTACACATTAAATTAGTTTGACCTACACATGCTCTTCCATAACCTGAAGTTGTCAAGGGACAAAGATGGAAAATGTTTACCTTAGCAGCAAGATACCCTTTGTCAGATTCCAGATCAGTGGGCCACAACTGTGTTTCTTGTCACACATCAATCAAACTGTAAACTACAATTTGTAACTGATGACCAGGAACTTGTTCTAGCTCTAAACTGAATACTTGCACGATATCATTATACCATTTGCGGATCAGATCCTCAGACTTCAGATGTAGTTATGAGTGCAGTGGGTCACATAAATAAGGCTCTGGCGAGCATGTTATGGCAGTATAAGTAATGCATCTACCATAATTAAAACACATTTACCTGTGAGGAACATGTTTCAGCAAAACATCATCAGGCTATCAAGACACATTTTTATTAAAACAGAACATTGATTCTATGTTTAAAGATCTGTCCTTCCTATGTGGTGGTCCTGACAAGAGCTACTCTTCTGTTCTTTGCTTCCGTTGGCCCGGATAACTTGATATCCCCCCTCCCATGACCCCAATTGGCCAGTTTTCCTATGCTCCCTGGCCTGATCCTCTGCCTACCTCTACATAACCCATCAACATCCTAACTTACTCATGTCAACCCTGAAGATGTAAGAAGCATGTTCCTCCAGAATGTTGGTAAACAAGACTACATGTCGCAACAACCCAGAAGGCCAGAATCTAATTATGGTTGTGATGTTTCCTGTCTTACAGATTGGACATAGATTTCACATATATTTTTATTATCCATTAAATTAAGGAAATCCTCAAAGCACTTGTCCCTGAACAGAAGCCAGACACGAGACTGGCAAATTAAATCAGAGCATTACGTAACAAATACAGATGAAGCTGTATCTCTGCCTAAGCAGCAAACCATGAAGGCATGTAAGACCAAACAGATTAGCTTAAATGGTAACACAGGAAGTATAATAGTTTTCTTTAGTCTCTCTAATTGATTAACTATTAGCTTCTGAAGGAGGATTCTACTTCGTGGACTTATATCATAAGTATTACATTATGGGGCTGTAAACACGGTTTCACGCAGGAGTTTAAATTGTAGTACTGGTCACTATTCAGATTTTTACAGTATTACAAAATTGCCCATTAAGTGTTGATTGCCATCCATTATGAATGGACTGCAAACTGTATTTGTTTATTTAACAATGCTGTTTGAGGAAGAATACGGAAGCAACCGTAACCTGTTTTAAGCAGCCATCCCAGCAACTGCCTCACGGCAGGGAGGGAATATCATGAAAACCATACTGTGAATATATATATATTTTTATATTATATGATTTACTCAACAGGCAAAATGTTAAAGAGATCAGCTGCCAGTGAGAGTCACACTTCAACCCAGCGAAGAACACTGAAAGCTGCACTTTCATCTCTTTCAGTGTATGATCTTCATAAACGGCTCATAAATGACTATATGGTGTATTACCACGGCAAAACAAACCTCCTTAAAAGAAATAAGTAAGTCGTGTGTATTCTAACCAGTTTTTCTCAGACTTTCGAAGTCAATGAGCACTGAGCTTTAAAAACTGCTGCAGACAAACCAGACTCTAATAATTTCACTTGCCAACCCTGCTGAGGTACTCTCTTCCATTTTCTGTACTCCTTTTTATTGTTCTCCTCTCCTTCCACCTCATTTTTGGGATTTAGGAGTGAAAAATTGGACGAGATTAACAGCAAACATGAACGGTCCACCCTATTTCAGTTTTAAGTGCTAATGCACCACACTGTTCACATATATAAAACCCGTTAATAAAATTTCAATTTCAATGGACACATTTTCTCCAGCACATCCCCATCCCCATAATCTAAGTACAAATTCAATTACAGTACTTGTTGAGTTCTCATCACATTATCCATTTCAACTTGGTATATCAAATATGGTTCTTACTTTTTCCTTCAGCTTTCTCCCAATTTCTTTCTTCCATCCATCTTCTTTTGTTGATCAGTGTTAAATGTTAACAGTTGAGGTTTGTTCCCAAATGACTTGCTGTGACTGTTCAGCTTCGCCTCAAAGACAAAAATATTCACTTGAAATTATCTGCAAAAAACAAATGAATGAAACCACAAATTTGTGGGCATGAACATGAACATGCAAAGCCTCCTATAGCCAAAGGACATGACAAAAGAGCACAAGACACGTGAAAATCACACACACACACAAAATTCAGTGACATTATTAAGTGGAAAATGGTAAGACCTGATCATATAAATGTATTTGTTTTTCATAAATTTGAATCAGTGTGTCTTTGTGTCATGAATATAAAGTCTGAAATCAAGGACGAATGTGAAGAAATAAGTTACTTTTGAAAAGAGCTTATTGTTTACACTTTTTTAAGGTCACGAGACAAACGAGATATTGACGTGATCAGAGAAAACCATCGCTTTTTGTGGGATGAAGACGACGTACCAGAGTCATGGGAAGCAAAATTAGCCAAGAAATATTATGACAAACTCTTTAAAGAATACTGCATTTGTGACCTCAGCAGATACAAGGAAAATAAGGTAATGTCTTCTTCTAGCAACAAATTTTTATAACCAATCTGCCCATCTCTTAAATCATTTCTCCACTTTGGTTTGTATTTAATTATTAATTTTATGTATCTAATGTCCACTATTCATGAAAAACATTTCTGTAGTATTAATTTATAGAAATGTTTAGAGAGAAACTGGGCTGATCTTGCCCAGGGAAGATCTGAGAGCAGTTTCTGTGGTAAAGAACATTCTTGACCAGCTGGACAGCCAATAGCTACTCAAAGACAACCATCTTGTGCACCCCAGGCCAGTAAGGCAGGTTCTGCGTAGCCAATGCTTAGAGCCTGATTTTCTCATCCCCATCCACTGGACTGTAAACTAGGATTGTAATTTGAATAGTTCAGTTATCAAATAATAAATGGTTACTTTTGTAGTGCCAAAACAAATAAGATACAAAGTAATCCTAGATCTAATACATCAGAGGAAGCAAATAACTCTAATTACTTGTGTGCAGTGTTTTGTTTTATAAAAACTGTGATGCACACAGAAAAGTAACTGAACTCCAAGTACTTACAGGCTTAAAAAGTAAAACAAGATACACAAACAAAAGTTTTATAAACCACGTTCTGACACATGGCTCTGAAATATCAGCAGTGACTAAGATAAATAAATGTAAAGTAGAGGGGCCAGCAATGTGCCTTTTGTATTCAGCACCTGGACAGCCCTGAGAGATCTAAAGGGAAGCACTGATGTGATAAATTAGAATACTGCATAGAAATATACAAAAACCATCCTGAAAGTACAGAGGATGAATAGTTACCAGAAAGTAGGTTACTGTGTAACCTGGACGGTGAAGAAACATGGGGGGACCCAGAATGAGATGGAAGATCCTACATCAGCATCAGACTTATGATGTTAAAGAAGACGAAGGGTGTGGACTGGATTCATCTGGCTCAGGATAGGGTCCAGTGCTGGGCTCTTGTGAACATTGCAATGAACCTTTGGGTTCCATAAAAGGTAGGGAATTTCTTGGCTAGCCGAGTGACTTCTCAAGAAGGACCATGCTGTATGCAATTTATCTACCTCCACTCCTAGGTATACATAATGTGTATCGAGAGACAGTAATGGCAATTCTTGTATAGTCTATGATGAACTTTACAGCAAGAAGGTTTCTGATGTTTTATTTGTACACGTTCCAGATTGCTATGAGGTGGCGCACAGAACAAGAGGTAGTTAATGGTACGGGGCAGTTCACCTGTGGAAACAAAACTTGCCCAGAATCTGAGGGACTGAGAACATGGGAAGTGAACTTTGCCTACAAAGAGGAAGAAGAGAAGAAGAATGCATTAGTGAAGCTACGTAAGTCAATGTAAACAGTCAAAGTATCACAGTTCTATGCAGACACTGCAATAAATTAACCTCATTAGAAAATCTTTACAAGGATGATTAAACAAAACAAGGAGAAACGGGCAGATGGAGTACCATGCATGTGCGTGTGTGTCTGTCCCAAAACAAATTAATTGCATTTTAAATTTTTATTCAGGTTTGTGTTCGGAGTGCACATACAAACTCAATTATCATCACAAAAAACGGGAAGTGACGAGAAATAAAGTTGAGAAATACCACAACCTTGAACAGCCTGGACCTAGCAAAGAGAAGAAGAGGAAAGATGAAGGAAGTCCAGAAGAGAATTATGACGACCAAGAACAGCAGCCTAATATGGATGAGGAAGTGCCTGATGGTGACAGTGAAGATAAGGTTTGGAGAGAGAAAGAAGCTGCAGAAGAGAAATCCAGAGATGAAGAATTCCAGGAATATCTTGAGGAACTACTTCTGTAATTTCGTTTAAATCTGAGCTAGAAGCATTCACATACAACAATTGTGTCGTGAAGAAGCTGCATTTATGTGTCTTGCCTTTAACTTGTCCATTGTTTTAATAAAATTATTTACTGCATATGAGCTCCTGTTTAAGGTTAAAAATGTAATTCCAAGAAGCTCTGCAGTTACTCAGTAAAAGTTTTTCAAATACGGTTTATGATATTTACTTCAATTTAAGATGTATATATACAAAGGTACAACTGTTAAAGGAAAATATGTTTAAGAGATGTGTTCACTAATTAGATTTTTAAAAATTAAAACCTGTTCTGTTGCGTATCTCTTCCTATGTATGACCTGTCAAAGCTGACAGGAGTTAACCTTTAAATGTTGAAGAGTAATACAATCAGCTGCATCATCATCATCGAAAATTGCACTGAAAATACAAAATTGGTAAAATTTCTTTAAAAAGTAAATTTAACGTTGAAACGTCGTGACGACGAAAGCCAGATTCCTGCCAAATGCAAAGTCAGCCAGACCACACCGTAGCCTCATTTGCATTTCTAGCTACCAGAGTCACCACTGTCAGAACTTGATGTAAATTTTTACACATCACACAAGAAGCATACTCGTTCAGTGAAGCGTGCTGGACATTGGCTATTTATCAGGACTAGAAAGTGGCACTTTGGTGGTGAGTTGCAGTAAGCATAATGATGTGAAAGCACACGTCCACTATGGAGCGCACAGTCTGAATTTAGCCATGATTGAGGCATGTTCAAATGTTACCATCAGAAATTGCGTGACATCAATGTCAATAGATTTCTGAAAGTTCTTTCTTCGCTCCTCATTACAGCAAGAGCAAGTGATCATTTTTAGCACTGCATCACCATTTTACTTATTTGATGGATGCGAAGTGCTAGTTATGTGACAGGCTGCTGAAATGAAATTTATGAGACCAGTGCATCAGTCATATTCTGTGATCAAACACCGAGGAAAGATATTAGCGACACGTTACAGACTACAAATATTATGACAGTTGAAGAACACAGAAACTGGTAGGACGGATGGCAGAGAACTGCATCCCACACAGAATTTTAAATTCAGAGCCACGAAGGGAGGGAGATTGATGTAAGGAGATCAAACAGGCCAAGATTTATGAAGGAAGAGTAGTTAGGGTACTGCACAATCAAATACGTGAACTGTACACATAATTATTTACTGTGTTTTTAAACTTATGGTCCACACTAGACAACACAAATTTTAATAGTGCAAGATTTTGGATTATCAACTGTTTCATTGCAATTTACTGATCCAATTATTGTGCCCTAGGGTGCAGGATACTGGATATACGTAGAAACCTACTAAAGATACAAAATATCTGTAAAACAATGGCATGCTGTTAATGAATTACATAACACTGGAGAAAAATACCATCTACAAAACTGTGATAAAATTTACCCACATAAATATGAAATGCTTAACACTGTGTTCTCAGAACACATACAAAACATTTCTTCATGTTAAAAAGATACATTTACAAATATACCATTAATGCCATGCTTCTTGTGTGCACAAAACTAATTCTAGTTTGACAAAATTAAGAGTAATGTGTCTAGTATCAACAACTATGACCAGAAGAGTTTGAAAATGCATATCGTTATAGTTTGTAACTTTTTCCATCTTGTAATGTTCAAGACAGCTGCTATGGATACATTAACATCACGACAGGCCTTCATATGAATCCAGACTGTTCTTTGCAACTTGCGCTGCGTACATTAAAGTGACACGCTAGAACACAAGCTTGTCACCGCGTAACAAGCATCCGTAAAAATGCCATTTCGTATTAAGTCTGCAGATGTTATTAACAATTATGACAATTATAATTTGATAACATTTACGTAAGGGTAAGAAAGACATAATTAAGCCAGCATCTACAATGCTGTACTTTCATTTTATAACACTCACCTTCGTCTTGTATTTAGCAAAGATCAATAAATATATGATACGACCCACCTTACGCTTTGATGTATGTTCATTCCAGAAATGCGTAAAAAATTATTTTTATTGCCATGATAATTAAAATCAAGCACGTCAGCTACAGGCACTGAAATTATATCTTTTCTTGAGTGTTTGGTCACAGGGTTTCACTCAAGTCACTCTGTGACAATGGTGAATCTGTTACCTCCAGACTATATCCTGCTTATTCATCCAGCCTTCTCCTCTGAGGACTTGCTGTCCGTCTCTTCATCCGAATAATCCTCGTCATGATTGTGGGTCACGCACCGTGGTGTCTCCGGTCGTGTGTGTGGTACTTGGCTATGGGACCGTTCCAGTAACTAAAATGAAAATATTTTTAATGTGAAAGTTTCTGGTAAGATTCAAAACTTGGACACAGGCAGATTCAAGCATTTTCAAATGTTCAGGTTTTATGCATTCTTTACACATTATTTTTACTGCTCACTAAACTTCATTAATAATAGAATCTTTCGGTAACAAGACATTTTTATTTGCTTTACAAAAACAAAGATCAAGACACATGATGAATACAGAATCACAAAAGATGCATTTCGAAATAAGTGTACTTAAAATCTGAGCAAACCTTCGTGTTCCTGTTTCAGTGTTGGACATTTCTAATCTGAAATTAAATGGAGACAGAAAATGTCTTGCTGTAATACAATCAAATGCATGTAACATGAATTAAAAACACCTACTGAATACTCACATGGTGATGATTAACATTATTTTCCGATGAATTCTCATCGTCAATGACTGTGAAAGTGCGCGTTCGTGATATCATAGGACTTTCCATCACAAACCTCTGCTCGTGAGCCACTGTTGATTCATGTGGCATCTGAAAGTAGAAGAACTTTGGATTTGTTTTTATGAAACGCTGCCAATGCCTATTCTAGTTCAGCCTCCCTTGGTCCTGGCTTAAAGATTTTTAGGGAAAAAACAACTGAGCTGGAATAGAAAAATTTAAGTCTTTTAAAATAAATGTAGCTTATATAATTCAGTAGCAGGAAATGTTTATGTATATGTACATATGCGTAACTTACCAACATGGCAGGGGCACGGAACATGTAACTGAACGGATAGTAAATGAGGTTGTGGAAGGTGGCCGCATACAAGTCGGCATACCGCACCACCTGAGATGAGAAAAATGTCTGGCGAGATCCACTCCGAAATAAACTTCCCATCATTCCATATGCCAGATCCATCTTGTGGGTCACATCCCGAATTGCATTTCTCAGCTTTGAGATGTCTGGCTTCTCCTTTGTACTACTGTCCAAGTTTCTAAAAAATAAATGTAATTTAACCATTAATAAAACCTAATGTACTTTAAAATACTATTAACAGATTTAATTTCCTCATTTTTTTTCATTCCATCTGTTCCCCTTCCCCCATAAGCTTCTGCCTTGTCCAACCTCCTCCTATACCTAACCCAGTTCCTCCGTGATAACTAGCGAACCACTGCAGCTAGGCAGACAGTATGAATCTTTGAGGTTGTATCTGACAAGTCCAACATAAAACATGAGTATTAATAGTAAGACCTGCCTTCAAAAATCACCTTATGTTACTTAAATACATCAACAACACAAGATCTGTGCTGGGAAAGTAGACTTAACGAGTTCTGCCCTATTTAGATTACGAAATATACAGGAATCTAAGACTCTTAGACTGTTTCAACTATTTACATTACGAAATATACAGGAATCTAAGACTCCTGCACGCAGCCACAGCAGGTTTGCCTCTGCCAGAGATCAGATGACTTGTTGCCAACATATCGCCACAAAGGACCGGATTCGCCCCTGGTGGAATTTGTGGTAGACAAAGTGGGACTGGGACAGGTTTTTCTCCGAGTCCTTAACTTTTCCCATGTTAATATCATTCCATCTCTGATCCATTCTCGCTCACACATCATCTGAGTGACAGTCAATGGACTCATTAGCAGCCCCAGTTCACAGACCGTCTCGCTCACCTCGTTGTGACAAGAGCAAAATAAAATAAATATTGTAGGAGGTCGCTAAGGAGCAGAAAAGCACTCACTTGTACATCTCCCCTAGCATAATGTCAAGATCCTGCAGTTCGGCAAACAGTTGACACTTGTCCGTCCAGACGTGGAGTTCCTGCACTAGCTCTGGTACAATCAGAAATGTGCGCCATCCGCAAATTTTCTTTGATTTCAGAATGTCGCCAAAGATGTGGTCTCCAATATATAACACATCTTTCCCCTTTGCACCGATGAGCTGAGTGAAAACATCACACGAACCTGTAATTAAGAAACACGTATATAGGGTGGTCAAAATGAGTGGACGACTGCGTTCGGCAAGTGGCGAACTTTGGAGAAAAACACTGAAGAGTAATGAAGAAATTAATATTAGAAAATTGTTTTTGGAGGATGTAAAATGTACTGAATGTCTTGCAATCGTCCATTGGTGTATTAACCAGTGTCAAAGGCATTTAGAAAATTATCAACTGTTGATGCACGATGCATGCTCCACTTACCACCAGAATACACTTGTCCCTTCTGCAGTGGGCCCATGTGAGTACCGATTTTGAGTGCTCCCGTGCTTGTATTCACTTGACGAAGGATTGTCCCCTCACCAAAGAACAGGGGCTTTCGGGCATCTACGACAATTGTGTCGAAGTACGTTTTCCAGTCACGATGAGGTTCATCTGCCTGTAAGCAGAAAAATTATTTTAAAATTGTACGTTACGCGGCGTAAATCAATTGTAGTGACACACAACTGCACTTTCTGAATTTATTAGACGTGGAAAAGCCAGTCATCATTCGTGCTCTAATGTGAACGTGTATTTCACAAAGACGCTAAATGCAAATCTGATTATTGTCAATACTTGAGACGTTAACATTCTTATTGGAAAAAAGTGCAGAAAATTATAACATAATAATGAAGTTATGCAACAATATGCTGGCAGATTTAGTTTCTTGTTTACTGAGGCACATATTAGACGTTAATTATGCAAATAAGTTTTAAAATAGAATCATAAGTAAATGGGCAAGTTATATAATAGAGGGAGCCAAATAATAAGCTTCCAAATTTCTATTTACTGCCTATTAGGCATGAAATAAATTTCTAAATGACAATTTAATAGTTCAAAACTGGTTCCATGAGACGTCCATACCAGGCAGAAACACGACACGAAAATTGTGGAAAGAATTAACAAACCAAGTGCTTTAGGCAAAAATGACTTTAGAAGTTAAAACAAAGGCACGTGAAAGAGCCATTTCTTACTGTTCATTTACTGCAAATTTGCACATCTTGCGTTACAACTATTACCTCTCGATTACAATGCTGTTGGTGGAGGACGCGCGGGTCGTGAGCCCGCCTCTAGCAATACAGTAACTTGTCGTCCCAAAGAATGCTGAAAACACCAAGGATCTCAAGCAAACCCCAACTATTCATCGTAATGTTCTACATTTTCAAAATTCAGTTTATTTCAAAATATTTATACAAGGAACTTGAAAAATGTAAACAAGGTTAAAGGTTAAACTCCAAAATAAATACAAACAAGTTCCTGACATACAAGTTTAACAATCCGTCACATTAACTCTTTGAGGTCCCGCGTTGGAGACCAAATTCTATTCTACCATTCCAAACGTACACGGAGCCCGACAGTTTGAAATTTTAAAAAATAATAATTTGAACTGGATCAGGAAGTGTGTTGTACATTAAAGCAACTGAACCTCAAAAGGAACCGGTTTGGCATCCAGAATATCATGTTAAGTGTCCATTATCAGAGCCAGTCTATTAATTTAAAAAATTCATTACATGAACACAAATTAACCTCAAAGAGTTAAGAACTTTGATAAAAATAAAAACCTAACAGAAAACAATTTGATCGTCTATTAATTTCAACAGAAATACTTTTACTTCTTAGCAAAATCAAAGAACTGAAATTATGTTGGTTATGGTTTGTCCGTGGTACGTACCCTGGCACCATGAAGGAAGTCAAATAAGTATGTCATTATTTTGTCAGTGAAGCAGTAATCGCTGTTGGTAAGGAGAAACACCTTAGCTCCACTCTCTCTGATTCTTGTCAGAAACATAGGCAACCTTTCATCTTTCTTCACATATTCGTCCAAGTTCTTTATTGTTCGAGATTTTAGATCTCCCTGGGAAAAAGAATTAACATGTGAATTAGAACGGATCCTCTGCGAATGTTCACCACAAAATTTCAGTCAATGATTCGTCCGGTGCCGTCGACCGACGACAAGTTCCTTTCTTTCTCTGCTATCCTATTTACTGTGAGCCCACTATGTATCTGAATGTCATTAAAATCTGTTCTACGGAATGGCAAATCGCTGCCTTGTGTCGCAATATGACGTGTTGACGAGAGAAAGAGACCTGGTGGTCTACAGATTTATGGTCAGTGCACATAAAATTTTTTTTACAAATAATTTGAAAGCTACATTTTTAACTTCAAGTAAAATGAGAATTCTACTTCACGGCAATCACTCCAATTTTACAAAATATTTCCGGCAAAATGTCTTCTCTTTGGTGTAGCATCGAGCGATGGCAATGGGCACAGACAAACACGCGGAACTAATTCTGCTGTAAAAGTTGGCGGACATATCGAGCGTTTTCTGTGACGGCCGCGTCAACTGATCTATTATTAAGGAACATGCAAATAACTCTAGTACCTGGATGTGCACCCAGTCCACTGCATTACGAACATCCTGCAAGATGGACTTGAAGGACATGAACAATTCCCCGCCCCTCACTCCAGTTTTATCCCTGAAAAATGGGAATTACGACTTGTAAACGTAAAATAAATGACTGGCACTATTATCAATGATTAATTATAATAATACGTCAAAACTGCTGTTCAGAAGAGAAGTACACAGAGAAGGAAGATCAATCAATGATTTTGACGGATGTCGCCGTGGACGCTAACATAAACAAAAGCACTGACCTGCTGTACTGCGGTGAGTTTGTGAAGAAATCTATGAGACATGCCAGAAGATAAGTCTCGGGCAAATTAAACAAGGTGTTGAGAACGTACACTCGCGATTCGTCCAACTGCTGGAACTTGTTTGGGTACAATTCATACACTTGTGAACTGAAAATGAGATTACAGAACCTTACTTTCGGATCACGTCTGCGAGTTCTCAACTTTCATTTTGCAAATTAATTCAATTTTTATCATTCTGAGAGACTGACAATCTGAACTCCTTACTGCTACTCCCGCTGCTGCTACAAAGTTATCGTCATTCGACATTTATTTCCTGAGAATTTTTGTGTGATTAAACAGACCCCCAAATAAATTTGGGAACAACTAAATGTTCTGTCAATTTCTGCTCATTTAAATACAAATAAATTCAACTTACTGTTTCAGGAACTCAAATCCATGGACACAAACAAGAATATTACCGTACGCATCAACTTTGAGCAAATTTCCATACAGAGAATCAAACCACAGACCTCTGAAAAATAAAGGGAAAATATTTTTAATATCACAATTAATAAGATTAATGAGCCAAAGGAGAGGCAGGCGAGAATTCCAGTAATTGAATATTTTGGGAATGGAAATAATTTTGCAAGTCGGATTTGATTTTCATTAGGCATTCAACAGAAAAAAGAAACTAATGTTCCTTATTTCAGGACCACATCAGAGAAGACGTCCCAGTCGAGGAGCGCGGACAAAGAAGACACTCGGCATTATACCAGTCAGTGCCATTCCTCCCACCACAAACTTCGGACCTCCTGAGTAACAACTGCTCGCTCATCCATAAAATGTGAAACGTCCTGGGCCTACGACTCTGGTGTTTTATAGACGACATTTTCTTAATTCTGATATGACATGGAGGCCTCCTTACGAAACCACATACTTGTAACTAACCTCACAGGGAACGATGGATCATATTCAAACTCAAGGATTTCTTGTGGGTAACCCAAGGACACCAGTCGCTCCTTCACCAGGTTGAAGCCCAGCCTCTCGTACTGCGGGGACTTGTACTCTGCAACAACGAGACGGGTTCAGTTGCCTGTCATTTCCAAAGCTTCATCTCAGAGAGTGTGACAGCCAACAGCATTCATTCATCCGTTGAGCCGAGTTCTCTACGCAAATGCCATAGTCCTCTCCTGGTCCTTGGATTTCATAAGCCAACTAAATTCGTTGCGCAATTTTTCATTACACTGGATTGCGAAATTAATAAACACCGGAGCCGAGTAATGAACATCGTTTCTGACCTTTCGCAAGAGCAGATATTCCCCTGGACGCTCTCACCACTAAGAGGCAGACCTACGGATTTTATTCTTTCAAAATATTTCAGTTACAGGTCGTAATACTATCAGCGGAAACACGAACCGTGTAGGTGAGGCCTGCGCCCATACGTTCACCACAAACTGCTCAGAAGTTACTCGAGATGTTAAATCTTAAATGTATCACAGCATCAGGATCGCGGCATGCCCGCAGATCAGCGTCTCTCTTCCGTCGGTTCGAATACGCCTTCAATCACACCCAAAGTCCGCGTCCTTTATGGATCACGAAAGTGCAACTGCACCCTACACTGAGCAAGATGACCGGAATTCCTAACACTTCGTGGTGAAGTTCTACTCACATTTACGCCAATGTTTTCCAAACGCTGTCTTCAGCTAGTCTTCCGACCTCAATTTTGTGTAGATTTCAGACCATCCACATTAACTTTTCTTGTCAATATTCAGTGAATCTCCTCGTAATGTAATTTTCTCTGTCCTCCCTCCTCGGGGTATAAATATTCCCCTCAGGAACCTGTTCTCAAAGGCCCTCAGTGTCACGTTAATGCCTTAATATGAGAGGCTGTTTAAGAAAAAGGCGCTAAAACTCCGAGGAGTTAGCAGAGTCGGCATGCGGAAATGCTTCCTGCATCCGAAGACGAGTTCGTTCGTATAAAGACAACTTACGAAAGCCTCAGATAATACAATCGTCTCTGGATATTTACCGGAGTAAGAAACGTTTCAAATAAAATCTGTTATGTTCTACGCATCAGAAGTTCGCAACTGCGAGGCGAAAATGTTGGTCCAGAGCCGGGGCGCCAGGCCGCTATGCTGCACGCGTCCATTTTCAGAAAATTACTAATTTTACGCTGTGAGTCCCCGCATGTACACGGTTGAGTTCAACTCAGAGCGTCCTCACTTACACCTCCGTTTAACACCCGGAAGTTTTACCATTTGACAACAACGCAAATAATTTTTTGGGGCCAACTCATTGTTTTGCCGTCTTTGGTTCCAAATTACTAACCACCACAATCAGCGAGCTTACATGCGAAAAATACTCGCTCAGAAGCGTGAGCCCCGCTTTCAACACCGACTATCTGGAACAAAAATAGCCGAGTTACGCGCTCTACGTCGTGCGTGTATCGCTGGCCAAAAGTCTGCACAAAAATGCAAAAATACATGGACACTTACTACAGGGCGCACGGCGGGGTAAAGCGGCCGGAGTGGCAAACTCTCGGGTTAAGGAAACTTCGTTCGTCGCACGGTACTCACCCGCTAACGTATAATCCATATCGAAGCCATAGAACTTTATGTTTTCCAGATGCAGACTCCGATTGACAAAAATTCTACGAACAAAAAGAGACAAAGTTATTAGCAACTGCAATCGAGACGCAATTCTCTGGCCTGTACTGTAAACACACAATTATTTATGTCAAAATAACTACAAATATTAAACAGCCCAAGTGAAAAGTGTCCTCTGTATAAAACCTGATCGTTACAGACCGACGTCCTCCATAATCAATTTCAATTTAAGGCACCAACGTTTGTAAAGAAAGCTACTTAAAACACTTCCTAATATCACTACGAGATTCTAAAACTAGTTTAAAATTCTGAGAGTATTTAACACAGACCGACTGGCTATATTAATAAAACAAGCAAAATATTACAGAGTGCACAAGTAATTATTTTCATACCGTGTAATCCAGACAATTTAAGGGGCGTAAGTTGCCCGACACTCACGTAATTAATTTGCTGAATTATCTAATTACAAACAGCTGACAGTCGACAAAGTTCAAAACATTTAAACACAAACTGCTCGTCGACCATTGAAACAATTAAGAACAGATTCTTGACTCTCTACTAACTCTGTTTTGCACTTCTCGGCCAAAGGTCCGTATCGAGGTCGAACAATCTGGATTCTGTTTACCTATCTCACGGGGCTTATAAAACAAAGCGCTCTAGTGGGTATCAGACAGCAGACATTCCAAGTATCTCGCGTCTTAACAAGTCCGAATTCCCTTCACGATATCAGCAGTTTCGCTTAATTGCTTGTAGATAAGTCTACTCAGTTCTCGAAGGACCTGAAGAAGCAACGATGGCTGTCGAAAATGGTACTTGGCGTGTCGTGCGATACTTTTACGTCACAAAGACGAAATGCATCGCAATTAGCTGAGGACAAGTGACAACCACGAACCTCTACACACATCAGAATGCATCGGGAGAAACAAAGTCTATCTTTATACGGGGGTGTGGAAAATTTACGTCGACCCAGAACTGGTTTTGTCCTAAAACTTACTGGATGCCCCTCGTCTGCAAACAAAACCACTGCAGCCACTAAGACGATCGGCAAATTTCCTTCGCCACGTCTGAGACGTGGTCTGCCCAGGAACGTCAGAAATGGGCGGGCCTTCGTCCATTCCTTCGTGCACTTACTTTGTCCCAGGTAGGAAGTCTTGTCGGTCTACTTGCATGGCACAGTGTCTACAAAAAACAACCCTGGTAGTACAGTGCCCTCAAACGACCACACCACATTCCACTGCAAAGACTGGGAGAACACGAGATTTCTGAACGATTTTCCTGTGATGACATCTAATAATACGGTTTCTATGGAAAAGACGAATGAAATGAAACACGATCGTGAACAACACTGGAAGATCGTTCGAGCTAACACCACCAAAGTTACTCTTGAAGAGACACGGAGCTTGCAACAGACAGCGATAAGGTACAGCTCAGGTTACTCTAAGCACTGCTTCTCTGTGACTTCCAGGGTTACCAACGTCCGTCTGTTTAAATCATTTAACGATGTCGATTACGTCTCCTATACGACCAACCTGTAAATCCAGCTTACGACGCAACTAAAACTGAGCACGTTAACAATACAGAGGAACACAAATTTTATTTTAAACATTTCTCGAAACGATTTATACAGTGGATTCCGGTTGATTGCGTCATCGGTTAATTCGGGACGAATCTTAAAGAACAAAACTTTTTAACCTTTACGTGGAACTTCGTGTAGTTGGGGCAGACGCTTAAGTGGGTCAAAGTGTTCTAGCCCCGATGTGACCCAATTAACCGGAATCCACTGTATATGACAAAACGGTTTGCACAAATTGTTGGGCCACCGGCGACAGACGGAAAACTTGATGCAAAGAGACAGCTTTTAGACCTAGTCGTCGATGGAAGGGTTATATTAAACGGAATCTTAAAGAAAGAGGTTGACTGCATTCAAGTCGCCAAAAGACTGGGCCAGGGGGCGAACACGGAAATGAACCTTTCGGTTCCACAAAAGGTGGGAACCTCTCGACCAGCTGAGCGAGCGAGGTGTCTATTTCAGGATGACGGGCACCGGGTCTCAATTCGGGCTACTGTGCACAATTAATATAAAGTATACAATTATCACACCTAGTGCAATCTTGCAAGCGTGACAGACAAATCCTTCGACACAGAGGGCAGATTATGATACTGCTGGTGACCGTGTCACCAATCCGGTTATGGTTCCGTGGTTGGGGGAGAGAGTTCCACCCTCGTCCTGGGCCTTCACCCTCTGAAGCCGAAGCTCGTCTAAATACTTAAGAATTCTTTATAGTTACCAGTGAACTTTAAAAGATGAATCAAAATTGTCTCGAAGTCGTCTGAAGGCAAACAGAACACAGCTGTTTCGAGAGACCTTCATTTTCACGGCAAACACAGACACGTTGGCGGAAACTCGGAAGGTCACCGAAAGACTCGTTCAACTTGGAAGCACGTTCATACTCACTCATTTGGTGCATTTTCTCGCTCATTCATCACGACCATCTCTGACAGATCCCTGCCCTCAACACACTTCAGCTACCAATGCTACAGAACGGAGCACAGAATGTCAACCGGCCGCTGGCCTCGCTCGCTCCCACACGCAGCTGCCGCCGTCTGCGCCAAAGTCTTACGCAACATCAGATCCCGTATTGGGGTGGCCCTAATACGACGCACGCAAAGTTACGCGAGGAACGCAGTTTGCGTTCAAGAACTTCCTGTGCATATGCGAGGCAACGCAGGAAGGCCGAATTCACTGCGAGGATATTACAAACGACAAGGATGTGGGGAAATAACAGTTAGTTGGTTCGTTTGTTTTGATGCAGGATAACAAAAGGCCGCAGGCTCTCTAAAACATCCCTACAGCCCGCGACACGCTTGCAAAAGAAACCAACACCACAGACGGCATTTTCTTCGCACCATCCTTCGTATTCAGGAGGTCGTTAAATAAATCGAGACGACCTTTCTTACACGTGACAGGAACTCGCGCTTTCCTGCATCGGATTAAAGTCAAGTCGGGTTATAACAGGCACGAGATAGCCTAATGTACATTTCTGAGCACATCAAGTGACTACGTAAAACTCTCTGAAGCCAAATGTTCGAAAGGCGTTTCGGTTGTCCCAACATATAACATCTGCGGTCGATCTGCAGTCTTTAAAAATGACCAGAAACACGAAAGCATCCGGAGCTTTCTACGTTAATTTCCACTTTTCAGTACAGCCCCTTCAGCCACGCGTCGGGCACTGAACTCCGAACATTACCTAATGACAGAAGCCTAGGCAAATGACAGGTGATGATGACATGTTTAAAAACGTCATGAGCGCAGGCACATTTAATCAGCTAATTACACATCTTTTATCGTTTCGCAAGAAAGCTACGGCCTTCGGAATAACAAAATATGTGTCACCACACAACTTGCAATGTTCAAAGGCAGTTTCCAGGAAGACGTTTGATATTTACCCAAGGCACTTCTCAGAAGGCAAACGGAGAGTGGCCACACGAAGCCAAGCGTCGGGTAGCCTTTTCTTTCGTCAAATACCAATTCCATCCTGATCAATCCCGGGCTGAACGCTAAGTTTGAGCTCAAACAGCGACCATGTTCTGTTTCAAATACACCCCCACCCCCCAAAAGAACCCGCAGATAAATGTTGCATTTGTATAATCATCCATTACCATTAATAATTCCAGACGAATGTTTTCTTACCCCAGTTTTGGTAATCGCGTGCAGCGAGGAGGGTTCATTATCCACCACACGTGACCTAGACTCATCGTGCTCTGATCTTGTGCAAACACAAAACACTCTAATTGTTTACGGAGACTGAGAGTGAGGTCGTTATCAAACAGGCAAAATTAACGTTCTGAAGCGAGGAGGGAACGAGAATCACAAAAGACTAACTAACACGCGGGTTCAACTTAGTTCACGTCGTTGCAGTCCGTTTGTTTGTAAGATTCTCTAACCTCCGATTCAAAATTCGCTTCCCTTACAAAATTCTGCGTGCGTTTCTTGTTACTCTTTTCAACCCACTGAAACGCCCTAAACCACAGCACGTAATCTGTTTCCAGGAACCCTGATCCTTCTTGAATTTTCTGTCTGATTAGAACACGTTATTTGTAACCAAAGGAGGCTGGAGAAGACTGCGTGAGGGCCTTATAATGTCCACCCTTCACCAAGTAGTGTCAGGATGACCAAACCAAGGCGAACGGGAGGAGGTGGTCTTATGACTGACAACGAAAACGCTCGACAGAGCCGTAAATCGCCTTGGTTCGTTACCCTTGCGTGATCAAGACAGAAAGAAAGAAAGAAAATGGACCTCACGAAGTGGACCTACGCCCCCAACAAGCAAGAGTTCGGTTTTCCCCCCGGAACAGCAGAAAGACATGATCGCCATGTGTAAGCACTATGGTCACTGCCGTGAAGTGAGGCGCCCCCCCCCCCCACGCC